ATATACAGTATTTATAATATAATATATATATATATATATATATATATATATATATTATATTTCACATATTTTAAATACATTAACAGATTAAAATAAAATTTAATTTAATTTAATAATTTAATAATATAGTATACATTTTTTTATATATATTATGAAATACATTGGATAATATTTTTTGTTTTTTTGAATAATCAATATACAGTATATGCTATGTATATATGATATATTTAAATATGATATAATTAATTTTTTGAAAATAGTATTTCCTAAAAAAATATATATATWATTAGTAATAAACTTTCAAATTTATTAGATATTGAATATACATTTAAAAAAAACAAAATCAAAACTAATATTTACTTAAAAAAATTAACATTTTTAAACAAAAATGTCAAAAAAAAGTTATATAAGAAACACATAATAATTATTATTATTATAAGACTCAAAAAAATAAGATAAATAACAATTAATTTGCAATTTTAAAAAAAAAATTATTATTTTAAATACAAACAACTGGTTATTATTCATTGTTAACTCATTGACGATSAMCCCCTCCCMCTCCCTCTCACACCTACCCCACCCCAACCAACCCCACACTAACTACTGACTATCMYAATTACCGACTGTCCAGTCTTGCATCTCATCGGTAAGTCTATGTATTTTGTTTACTTCGTCCAGTATCTGAGCCAACTGGGCCTTAACCCGGGCATCCCTGTAGCCATTGATAGGATTGCCGCCGCCGCCGCCGCTCCGGTAKCCTACAGACAATTGGCGTCCAATAACACGTAGTTTTAGTGAATCGCTAGCGGACAGGTATCTAAACACTGCTGGCGACTTACGATGATGACGATGCTGGCCTAATAGGATGGGCATCAAACCTTGATTATAAGCACCGGTAGGGGCGGCTCTGATGGTGGATGATCCCTGGCCAGGATCAACAGTATCGATTGAATAGCACATATAGTAGGGATCGTCGCGTATTGTTTCCGATAGTCTAATCTTGACCACTGCTTGCCTATCGTCTAGATAGTGGTCAACAGGGAACTGGTGATCCGGATCGCATACCTGTCCATCGTTGCCCTGGACGGTTGTAAAGCCGACAGTTATTTTGTGAAACCCGGTCACATCCGGGCGGCCGTTATTATCATCCGATGAGCTGCTGCTAAAATGTTGGCCAAACAATCGCATAGTTATCATCTGTTTATCGGGTATTACTGTTAGGCCAGTATCGTCGGTAACTATCGGATGCTTAGCCGACTCGGCCCGAAAACCGGTGATTACTGGCCACCGGTTGTGTTGTTGTTGTTGTAGTGATGACTGTCCATTAGTCCATAGGATTAGTAGTTTCTTTAAAAAACTATATTTTTTATAATAAAAAWTTTTTTTGTTAACTATAATTATTTATTTAAATTATTATAACACAAAAAATAATAGATTTTTTTTTGGATAAAATATTAAATTAATAATAATTATTACTAATAAAAAATATAACATTTGATAAAAACCTTTTTGTAATAACATTATTATAGTTATTATTATTATTATAATTATTATTAGTTGTAATGTTTTGTTGTTCACAATCAATGTTAATAATATTCAATGATAATACTATCAATAATACAAAATTAAATGTTTTAATAAACATTTTATTATTTTTAATTTTAATGTTAAACTTATAACAGGGTTATTATGATTATTACTATTATATATTATTAGTAATATAARTAAAATAATATAATTGTGACTGTATTTACATATATACTGTATATACAGTATTATAATCTAAACTTTAAATATGTAATTATAGTTAATATTATTAATATTATATAAAAATTTATAAATTAATATTTATAAAAATAACTTTTAATTAAATATGTCGGATATACAGTATAAGTAATAATATTAAATCAATTTTAATTTAAAAAATATGAAACAACAACAAAATAACTTAAATTTTTTTTATATATAACTACTAAAAAAAACATTTGGTTTCATATACTGTAATAACATATAGTATAACATATACAGTATATCTCTCATCTATCATATAATATATTGTAATAATAATAATAATAATATATCACAAAAATATTTCTGTTAATAACAGATTTTTATTAATATAATTAATTTTTTTTATTTGAAATTTTCAAGCATTATATCGTATTTAATATGTGTAGAAAAAATTTAATTTAATTTAATATTCAATAAAATATATTACAYATGTAGTACAGTAAATGTATAAATATATATATTAATATATATATTTAAAAATTTATAGTATTATTATTTTTTTAAGTACATTTACATTATTACATTATATTATACATATATTAATATATCTATTATTTTATTAAAAAACTAATTAATTTTAAATATTTATAAATTTTATTGTATTTATAATAATAATAATAATAATAATGTTAAACGTTCTAGGTTAATTATTTAAATTATCTARGATTAATATAATTAATTAATTAAACATTTTGAAATTTAWTTTTTTAAATTAATTAAATGGTATCTTTTATATTTTAMTTTRAYTTTAAAAACATTATTATTATTATTAGTCACATATATTTATTTATTAAATTTTTATTTTTGATAAATTTTATTATATATTATTTCTGATAATTTTATAATAGTTTTTAAAAYTTATTTTTTTAATCTAATACTCACTTGAAAATCACAATTACAAGTAAACACATTATTATTATATAAATTGATAGATAAAATAATGTATTTTACAATTCAATAAATAATAAAATAACAAAAAATATTAAAAATATTAATAATAAACACTTTTAAATGACACACTTATTATTTATTAATAACTATTAGTATTAGTTATCCAATTATATATATATATATATATATATATATATAGTAATTATCATATTATATTTTCTGATAATTGTACTTGCACAAATTAGAAAAATATATATATMWATATATAACACTTTGATATTTAAAATAAAACAAAATAATAAAAATAATGACAAATAAAAAACATAAAAAATAAAGTTTTAATTAAATTTAATATTAGAATAGTTTTGTTATTTAATTAAAACTTTTTTTTTGTGAACAATAAAATAAAATATATATAACAATGAAACTATTATTATCATCATCACTATTAATATTATTATTATTAATAAAACTAATTAATTGTTTAGGACTGTCTACTAATAATACGACTGTCCCATCTAGAGGTATTAAAAAAATATTAAATAATAATAAATTTAAAAAAAAAATCTTAATTAATAATTAAAATCAATTTTATTTATATAACAATATTTGTAGACCGAAATGATAAACCCTATCGTGTTGTATGCTATTGGGGCTCATGGGCCTGGTATAGGCCTAAAGGTGGCCAGGTATGTACTGTAGTGTACAGTTATATTTAGGTACAGTATTTTATTTATTTATTTTAAATAGTCATCGCCTGAGACAACTAACCCGCTGTTATGTACGCACATGATCTACGGTTTTGCCAAATTGGGCGACACATCCAACAAGATTGAAGTCTACGATCCGGACCTTGATTTAGGCGATACCGATTGGGAATCGGGTCTTCCCTGGGGAGAGGGTATGTACAGTACTTATACAATAGTTTTTTTTTAAATATTAATTTTAAAAGTTTAATTTCTCTGAGACAAAATGGTTTACTATTTCACCCCCACCCACTAAACTCTAATACTTTAATAGCCTCCACTTAGCATACCTAATCCCACACACACACATACATATACACACAAACAACACATACACACAAACATAGACACATACATAAACACACACATACACACACACACACACACACATACATACACACACATACATACATAAATACATACAAACAAACAACACATACATACACACACACATACACACACACATACATAAATACATACACACATACAGTATATATACACACAAACAACACATACACACATACTCAAAAATAATACAAAATTAATTTTAATATATTTGTTTATCAATTGTTATATACTGTTTTAAAGGTATGTATAGGCGCTACATTGATCTGCGCCGGTATGTCAATCCCCATCTAACGGTACTCGTATCGATTGGCGGCTGGAACGAGGGCTCTACAAAATACTCGCGTATGGTTAGCTCACCCCCGAAGCGCCGGGTGTTTGTCGAATCGATCGTCAAGTTTCTCGTCGATAACGATTTCGATGGCTTGGATATGGACTGGTATGCACTGGAACTACTGATTAGACTTCAAACCCACCCCCTGAACCTAATCTAATATAGTATTATTATTATTATTATATGCACAGGGAGTACCCGGGTTTCAAAGCAGGTACCGGTGGCGATGATCGTACGCCTGGCGATCCCGAAGACAATCCGAATTTTATTCAACTACTTCGCGAGCTTCGGGAGGCATTCAAACCGTACGGTTTCCTATTGACGGCTGCCGTATCGGCTGGTAGGCCAACAATTGATGTCAGCTACAATGTACCTGAGCTGAGTCAATTGGTTGACTTTATCAATGTTATGACCTATGATTTTCATGGTGGCGGTTGGGATAATGTTACCGGTATAGCGCACTAGCTTATGTAGTCAATAAAAAAACTAACACTACCATACCATATAATTTTTAAGGACATAACGCTCCACTGTATGCCAGTGCCGGTGCAACTGAACATGAAAAACAATTTACTGTTTCCTATGCTATCGACTATTGGCTTAAATTGGGTGCCGATCCTAAAAAATTGGTTGAAAAATTTTGTTTGTTTACTGTATCTACCAGTGCTTAACTAACCAGTGTTTTCCATAGGTAATGGGTATGGGTACCTATGGCCGTACGTTTACACTGGCCAATCCGGCCAATCACGGTCTGGGAGCACCGGCAGTCGGTAAAGGAGGCAAACCGGGTAAGTATACCGAGGAAGAGGGAATGTTAGGCTATAATGAGGTATATAAAAAATATACAGTATTTTTCAATCACACACACTCACTCACTCACTATATGACATACCTCTCGATCCCCCCATCCACATCCACCCCACCCAACCCGTTCCCCCAGATATGCGAATCATTTCAGACAAATCCAGATAAATGGCATATATTCAGGGATGACATCCAGAAAATAGTCTACGCTGTCAATGCAAATCAATGGGTCGGCTACGATGATGACCAGTCACTAGGCGAAAAGCTACAGTTCCTTAAACAGCGCAAACTAAGCGGTGCTATGGTCTGGTCGATAGATACCGACGACTATTTAGGCCATTGTTCTGCAGTGGGCAGTGGTAGCGGTAGTAATGGTCTGAAACATCCGCTGATGAAGACAATCAGTGGCCAATTGAATGGTATTACAGGTCCCGATCCTGTCATACATGAGCATCACTATAGACCGCCACATACGACAACAACTGTCCCCAACATTTAAACCATAAATATAATACAGTATTAAAATATATAGATATAAAAAAAATTATTATTATTTTATTTTCAATAATAATAATTATTAATTAATTAAAATTACTATTATATTAATATAATAAAAGTTATATCTATTTAAATATTAAATAACTAATTCATTGATTATTTTTGTTATATAATGAACTAAATTAATATTTAATAAAAATATTTATTATTATTTTAGTTTCAATAATAATTATTAGTTAATTAAATAAAATTACTATTATATTAATAATTAATAGTTATATCTATTTAATTATTAAAAATAACTAATTGATTGATTGATTGTTTTTTGTTATATAATAAACTAATTAAAATTAATAAAAATATTTTATTATTATTATTTTATTGATTGATTGAGTAATATTTTTTTTTAATTTATCAATATCAATTAATTTAGGTATTTTTATTATATAAATATTATCAATTAAATAATAGTAAATAATATAATTTATCTGGCGCCAACCTAGCTAGCAAAATATATTTATTATTAATCTTTTAATTTTTTTAATAAAAATAAATTTAATAACTAAAATGATAAATTTATCTAGAACACTTTTGTTTTGTTAAAATAAAATCAAATCATATAGATAATTTTTTATATATATAATAAATGTGCAAAAAGTGCACACTGCTCCTATTTTCATTAGAAATTAATTAAAAAAAAATTTTTTTAAATAATAATTGGAAGTTATAAAAAAGATAATAATAATAATAATAAATCAAATTTATCAAGTTAATATTATTATATTTTATTAATATAATATCAAACTTAGATATATCTTAGTAAATTTCCATATACTGTATTTTTAAAAAATCAATAATTTTTRCTAGATAAGTTTGATTTATTGAATTTTTTTRTTGTTGTATACAATCATTAATAATAATAATAATTATTAAATTAATTAATATCTATTTTTTGAGTAGGGTGTATTATTTCTAAGAAAAATTATAATCAATATATATATATATATATATATATATATATAATTTATATATATATATATATATTGATTACAKTGTAGTTATAGACTTTTTTTATCAATAGTAAAATGTGCATGTGTACTTTAGCGTGATTTTTTTCACCAACATTTAATTATTATCTAACAGTTTTTATTTTATTTTATTTTTCAATTAATTAATCTTTTTATTATCAATAATATACAGTAGTAGTAGTAGTTTATTATAAATTTATATATAAATAGGTTTTTTAGTTTCAGTATTAATTGCCTTGTCAATTTTTTTGTTTTATTTATTTATTTATTATTATTATTACTAATAATAATATTTATAATAATAATACGTAGTAGCTAAAATATATTAATATAAAAAAAAAATGAGGTGGCTACTTTTAGCTAATTCAATTAGTGCATTATTAGTGCTAATATTTGGCGCACCTAGTCAAAGTATGATTTTTAATTAAAATCCTATCTATTAAGTTAAAAATAATTATTATTATTTTTTATAAATAATAACTTGTTAATTTTTTTTATAATTATTTTTTTTTATAAAAATTATATTAAATAGTTAAAACTAATGATGATGACAATGGCTATAAAATTGTTTGCTATTATGGTGCATGGTCAGGTTGGCATAAAGATAAGGGCGAGGTTTGTATAATTAATTGTATTTTATTTAAAAAATTAACTAGATAAAATATATAAAATATATAAATATTTTTTATTTTAATTTTTATAAATAAAAGTTTACGCCCGAAAAAGCCAACCCTAATCTATGTACACATTTGATGTACGGTTTCGCTGCATTGGACGACGCTAGCAGTAAAATCAAACTGTTTGATCCCAATTTGGATACCGGCGACACTGACTGGCACTGTGGCCAATGGGGAAAAGGTAGGTCATACACATACTAATATATATATGTGTGTGTGTATATATATTTTTTTGTGTGTGTTTGTGTGTATGTGTATGTGTGTGTTTGTGTGTGTGTGTGTGTATGTGTGTATGTGTGTGTGTGTGTGTGTGTGTGTGTGTGTGTGTGTGTGTGTGTGTGTGTGTGTGTTATGTATGTATGTGTGTGTACATATTTGTGTGTGTGTGTGTTTGTATATGTATTTGTATTTGTATATGTATATGTATTTGTGTGTGTGTGTGTGTGTGTGTGTGTGTGYGTGTGTGTGTGTGTGTGTATGTGTATATATATATGTGTGTGTGTGTTAATGTATGTATGTGTGTGTATTTACATGTATATATATGTTTGTATTTTTGTGTGTATACATATTTGTGTATGTATTTGTATTTGTATTTGTATTTGTATTTGTATATGTATTTGTATTTGTATATGTATATGTATTTGTGTGTGTGTGTGTGCGTGTGTGTGTGTGCATCAATGCATTTACATGTAAAAAACTATACTATTATGTATTACTCTGGTATATATCATATTAAAAATAAAAATTATTTTATTTTATATCATTAGGTTTCTATCGGCGCACAGTTGACTTACGCAAGTATACCAACCCTAAGCTAAAGGTTATCATATCGATTGGCGGCTGGAATGAAGGTTCAACTAAATACTCAACAATGGTTAGTTCGCCCGACAGGCGCCGGGCGTTTGTACAGTCAGTGCTCGATCATCTTAAACTATACGGTTTTGATGGTCTCGATCTGGACTGGTATGTAATTATAAACAGTCATATGCATGTATAGTATATACAGTATATTGTATACCGTATACTATATATATATTAATAATATGCTATTTAAAAAAAACAAACAAATAACTAATGTATTATATTTAAATATTTTTTTACATATACACTCACACACACACACACTCATACACTTACTCACACACTTACTCACACACATACTCACACACTTACTCACACACTTACTCACACACATACTCACACACATACACACACACACATACACACACACACAAACAAACATATACACACATATACATAAACACACACACACAAACACACACATATGTATACACACATATAAACACACACACACACACACACAAATACACATATAAACACATACATATACACACATATACACACACATATATATATATACTCATAGGGAGTACCCGGGTTTCAATGCCAAAACCCAGGATCCCGGTGACGACCGAACACCTGGCAATCCTAAAGACAAACAAAACTATATTGCCTTACTATCTGAACTGAGACAGGCCTTCCAGCCGCACGGCTATCTACTATCGGCTGCCGTATCGGCTGGTAAGCCAACAATAGACATATCATATGATGTCAAACCAATGATGCAATACCTGGACTTTGTCAGCGTTATGACCTATGATTTTCATGGCGGCTCATTTGATAATGTTACTGGTACATTTTTTAAATTTTTCAAAAAATTAATTAAAATTAATTATATMTATATATATATATTGATAGGACATAACGCACCGTTATATCCGGCCACTGGCGATGATGAACATCATAAACAGTTTACAGTTTCCTATGCTATCGACTATTGGCTTAAACTGGGAGCCGATCCCAACAAACTGGTAATTATAATAATAATAATAATAATTATTATTATTAGTTATAAATTATATTTAACTAATACAACAATAACCAACAAAAAAAAACTATTAGATTATGGGAATGCCTACCTATGGACGATCATTTACGTTGGCCGACCCCAACAAAAGCGGTTTCAATGCACCGACAGTGGGAAAGGGTGGTAAAGCCGGACCGTATACAGGACTGGCCGGTACTTTAGGCTATTTTGAGGTACAATAGCCGATTGGCTACCTTTACTGTTGACTAATATAATACAATTATTGTGAACCACCCCTTAAACCTATCCTATACTACCCAACCCATCCTAAAAAACCACTAGATCTGTATGGATCGTAACTGGAAAGTCCATAGAGACGACGTCCAGAAAGTTGTCTACGCTGTCAACGGTGACCAATGGGTCGGCTACGATGATATCCAGTCGTTCAAAGATAAGCTACAGTTCCTTAAGCAGCGAAAACTAGGCGGCGCTATGTTCTGGTCGATAGATACCGACGATTTTGGCGGCTATTGCGGCGGCGAAAAATTCCCGCTAATCAAATCCGTTTACCGCGAACTGGTTGGCCAGCCGGGACCCGATCCCGTCCAAGTGGAACATCATTGCAAATATAATACAACACTAGTTTAAAATTTATTATTAATATTATTATTTGGATATAATATTATTTATATTACCCGATAATAAAGCAAACAAACAAATAGTTATTTTATTTTCTATTGTTTTTTTTTCTACATATAATTAAAAAACAATTATTAATGTATTTTTTTAATTTCATAAAATAAAAATAWATATATAGTATTAGTATTATTATTATCATAAATATTAATAAATAAATAAATAAAAATTATAATTTTAAAAAATAAAGTGTAATCCAATTTTTTTAAATATAAATTTTTATTAATTAATTAATTAACTTAAATATATATCTCAATTATACTATTAAAAAAAATTAACAAACAAATAATTAAAAAAAACAAAACAAAATTAATGTATTATATTTTAATTAATTTAAAAAATAAATTATTAACTTAAATATTTATAACTATTAATATATTTTTGTTATTAATTTAATTAATTGTTCAAATAAAACTAAACTATTTTATATGTATATACCTGTAGTATTAATATATTATTATTATTTATACTAGCACATTTTAACTAAACAACAAAACAAACAAAAAATTGTAAAAACATTTATCTAACCTAAAACCTAAACTMTTTCTCTCTCTCTCTCTCTCTCTCTCTCTCTCTCTCTCTCTCTCTCTCTCTCTCTCTCTCTCTCTCTCTCTCTCTCTCTCTCTCTCTCTCTCTCTCTCTCTCTCTCTCTCTCTCTCTCTCTCTCTCTCTCTCTCTCACTAAGAAAATGGCGGCAAACCAAACAATTCGGGTTTTAGTTCACTAAGCGAACCGATWACTTGKAYGGCACCCAACGATTTATCGCTCCGGTAGTCCGAACCGCTAACCCTACGATCGACAACATGTACGCACGGCATACCCGCCCGGACAGCGGCTTTGACACCTATTTCCGTATCTTCGATAACCAGTACATTGACCGGTGATTTGGCGGGTATTGACCGAAACATATCGTAACAACGCCTGTAGACATCGGGTTCGGGTTTCGGTCGTATGTCTCGGAGTCCCGGATCGCCAGTTAGGACGATATGATCGAATTGATCGAAAAACTCGGGCCAATATCGTCGGATAATTTTAAAGTCCGCGGGATTCGAACCCGAACCGATGGCCATCGGTATTTTATTTGCACGGAGATGTCGGACCAATTGTCGGGCACCGGGCATCAGTGGTATACCACCTTCTAGTTCGATCAGTGCCATACCTCTAGTATACATCCGGTCCATAAACTGGCCAATCGTTAGACCCGTACGATCYAACTSWGCGTCCATAAACATTTGGACAATACGTTCGCTGTACGAGTGGCCCAATAGTCGCGATTTTTGCCTACTAGTCAACTGGTGGCGGTTGTGGTGGTGTTGGTGTGGGTGAGGCTCCGGGTGSTTGTGGTGTTGGGGGTGTTGGTCACCACCACTACCAATTTCGGCAATAACCAAGTCGACTACCCGGTTCAACATAAACTCGGTATCTACTAGTGTACCGTCCATGTCAAATATTACGTGACTAATTGGCTGCTCGGTAATTAACATTTAAAAAAAAAATATTATTTATATATATATATATATTAATTAATTAAATATATTTTTAAAAGTTAATAATAACAAAATTAAAAAGTCAAATTTAGTAGTTTTAGTAAATTTTTTTGTTTTATTTATATATACTGCTATTCAATTAAATTTTTGTTTAATAATAATAATAATATTGTAATAATAATATCTAACTATTGTATTGTTTTTTTTTAAATAATATGTTTTTTATTTAATAATAATAATAATAATAATAATTTTTTTGTTAAATCATTTGCTCAATCATTGTATTAGCAGTTTGTGTATAGCGTTTGCGTTTGCAATGATATATAAGTTAATAATTTTGAATTTTGTTTATTATATTAATTTTATGGATTTTGTTTTTATTATAATAAAAATTTATTTATTTAATAGTATGTTTTGTATCTAATAAATATTTCATTTATTTAGATATATATATATTTACATAAAATGTACATGTTGCATTTTATACATATTATTATATTTAAATAGTATTAAAAATATTTTTTTTATTGTAAAAATTTATAAAAAATAATACAGTTATTACATATTATTGCTTTRTATATATATATTGTTTTAATTATTTCAAGTAGTCTATAGTCTAGACAATTGATAATAAAAATTGTTTTAATATTTCAAATATTTATTTTACAAAAAAGAAACTAATTTGTTGTTAATAATTATAAATATAATCTTATTGTTAGTATTATAAAAACAAAATTAATAAATAATTTTAACAATTAAATAAAAGATATATATATATATATATATATATATATATATAATATATATAAATGTTTACTTAAGATTATAATGTCATTTAATTAATCTTATTATCAAAAAACAACAACAACAACGACAAAATAAATAATTAAATAAATAAAAAGTTTTATTTTTTTTGTAGATTATTAAACTCAATATATAATATAATATACAGTATATTTTTATTTATTTATTATTATTACTATTATTGATAAATGGTTATTGCACTATTGTATATACAATATATATATTGTATGATATATTATATTTTATTTTATTTTTAATAATACAACCTAGTATCAATTATGCAATTTATTTTTATTAGTATTAATTTTAATACTATATTTTTATATGTTTTTTTTTAGTTTAGTACATTTAATTTTCACGCACAACAATAGTGTTATGATTGCTAATAGAGTTTAGGCAACTTTCCCATAAAATTAAATAAAATAAAAACTAAATTCCCACTAATTTATTTCCAACAAAAACAACAAATAATTACATAAAAAATTGTACATAATTTATTACATAAAAAATCATAAAACTCTAATAATATTTTTTTTGATAAAAAATTACTAGATGAAATTATATACAAAATTTTTTAAATATTTTTTATTGTTGTCGAAAATTTACTAGGGAATATAATAAATAAATATATATATATATATAAATTTAGAAAATAATTATAAATAATAATAAATAGGAAATTTAGCATGTACATTTTTATTTAATCAAAAAATGATATAAGTTTAAACTAGTATCATAATTTAATTAATTAATTATATATATATATATATATATTATATATATATATATACTGTACTTAAAATAAAATGCAATAGATTTTTAATTTTTAACTATTAAATAAAAAAATTTATATTTTAAAAATGTGTATAATATATTATTATTATTTTTATAATAGCTATAAAATATTATTAGATTATATAAAAAAAGTAATTACATAATGAAATCGCAATTATATTATTATATAATATAAACTATACTAAACAATAAACCATTGACACTACATATATATATATATATATACATATACCAGTATATATTTATATTACTAAAATCTAAGTGCATCTAGTTCAAATATTATTTAATATTACTTAATATTTTTAATATATATATAATATAATTTTTGTTTTTATTTAAAAAAATAATAATAATATTTAATTTTTTTTATGTTTTATAGCGTATAATGTACAATGTCACAAATTGACATAATTACCAATATCAATAATTATAATGATAATGATGATGATAATAATATCAATAGTAATAATAATAATAATAATAATAGAAATTCTAGACGCTACAAATATTTATTGACATTGTCAATTTATTGTTGTACATTTTTAAATGTAAGTTTTATTATTATTATTTATTTTTTTTATTAAAAAGTTACATGTAATTATTTTTATTTTTATAAATATTTTTTTTTTAATAAAAGCAACTACCTGATTTTATGTTTGGCGTAGCCCTACCCGATTTGGCCAGTTTGTACGGTACCGATATAGCGGGCATATCTCATATTATATCCATAGCATCAATAACGTCGTTATTGGGATTTTTATGTAGGTATTGAAAATTTTTTTTAAAAATTAATTAAATATTAAATATTAACTAGCTAATTTATTTTAATTTTATCTTGTTAGTTAGCCTACAAGCTAGATACTTTAACAAGCAAATAGTTTTCGCTATACTGCTACTATTGCGCGGTATAACTGCAAGTTTGCTGCCAATACTGTCCAATCTAGTGGAGCTATCCATAAATTACGCCATCTATGTTTGTCTAACGGTTTGCTATCAGACGTCGGTAAACGTATGGGTTATCGATATTTGGTCCGTAGATTGTCCGCCGTTTATCCAAACGTTACATCTAGTATACAGTGTTGCGGCAATTGTGGCGCCACTTTTGGCCCAATTAGCATTTCATCGTAACTATGAAGTAGTTGAAAACAATAATGTACAGGGTGGTACCCGGGTCAATGATAATAATAATAATAATAATAATAATACTAATACTAAAATAATACCAATTTGGGTACCATTTTTGATAGTTGGTACATGCATATTTCTAAGTGGAATTTTAATGTTGACGTTATTTATGTTCAAACGTTATGTACCTAGACAAATTAGTAATAATAATAATAGTTTGGAATCGAATCCAACTAATATAAATAGAACAATTAGCAGTAGTAATAATAATAATAAATTAAATAATAATAATAATAATAAATCATCATGGTACATTATTTCGGCAAAAAATATTAAACAACATTGGCACAATATTCGAAAAGAAATTCAATTTGATTTATTACCTAGCTCAAAATTATCATTTATTAATATAACAATTACATGGATGTTATTATTGAATGCCGTATTCAATGTTGGCTACATTTCCTATTATCCGACATTCCTTCAACTATATGGCCGCCAACAAAATGCTTCATCAACTAATATGGCGGTATCGCCACTGGTATCGCCAAAATTAGCCGCCTATATGACTAGCGTTATGTATGCTGGCCAATGTCTATGCGCCCTACTATATATACCCATAACCAGAGGTATAGGTGCCCAAAAAATTCTATATATTCAATTAGTCATAGTACTAGCTAGCTTATCAGTTTTATGGTCAAAAATTAGCCTAGCTACACTATGGCTAGGTTCAGCATTGTTTGGTTTGGGTACTGGACTACTAGTTCCCGGAATGTATAGTCTATGGGAATCACTGGCACCGCCACTAACCGATCTAAAAGGTTCATTGATATCATTGGCTACTAGTTTGGGTATACTATTGGCATCGTTGACCATGGGCAAATATCTTGAATCAATGGCCCAATTGTTTATCTATATTGAACTTAGTCTAACTATAAGTGTATTAATTTTATTAATAATTATTGATTATGTTAGAAGAAAATTATAAAAAAAAATTATTATTATTATTATTATTTATTAATTAATTAATTAATTAATTAATTGTTAGAATATATTTTTAATAAATAAAAAATATTTTTAAATAGTTTCTATCTATATAAAAAATAAATTAATTAATATCTACACACACACACACACACACACACACACAC